GACGTACAGGTAAGCGCGCCCCTGCCGGCGCGCCGCGTCCCGGTGTGCCCTTCTTACTTCGTTGCGCGCACTTGTGAAGCAGGGGCGCGGAGGGCCCCTCTGCCCCGCCCACGCTCCTACCCGGCCTGCACGTTAGTCTCCCGCGTGCCGCCAAGCCCGACCAGCCTCGGGACGCTCCGCGAGCCCAGGGGCTGCCCAGGGGCTGTAGTAATCGGGCGGGACGAGGCAGGCCGCCCCGGCCGCTACTGCTGGCTCCAAACGTAGCCCGGGGACATAAGTGTCCAGTTTCCTTTGACCTTGGGGACCCGGGATGGTGTGCAGCCCGCAGGGGTGGGAAGGGAGCCAGGGGAATCCGACCCTATCTCGGCCGTTAGCCTCTGAGTTAGGTCTCCAGAAGGGAGGGTTTTTTAGTTGCAGTAGACCTCACAGCATTTACATCAGGTTTTCCCCTTTACGGAGCAGTGAACAGGCTCAGGAACGTGGGGCGGTTCCCAGAGTCACACAGGTCAAGGACAACAGACGTTGTTTTTCTTAGTCTTCCGTTAGTTCACAGATTTTATACTTCTGACGATCTCACCCGAAACCTCCTACGGGCTTCCTGCCCTGATCATTCGCTTACCCACGTCCACCCTGCAGCCAAGGAGATCTTTGAAAATGCACTCAGGTCACTTCTCTACTTAAGATTTTTCTGGTGCTCCCATGCTATCTGGGTCAGGTCCAAACTTTGTTTTTGTTTTGTTTTTGGCGGCTGGCCCTTACTGCGATCTGAACCCGTGACCTCAGTGTTTTCAGGCTGTGCTCTAACCAGCTGAGCTAATTGGCCAGTCCTAGATCCAAACTTTGATGTGCAAGGCCCTCAGAGATCTAACCTCTTGTCTGTCAGTCCAACCCCATCTTTGTATATTCTTTTCTGGGTTCATACTCATGCCCTAGTCCTCCTGATATACTTTCATTCCACAAGTTTTTGTCTTTTGGCCGTTGGCATGTACCAGGATCTGAACCGCGCGACCTTGGTGTTATGAGGCTATGCTCTGACCAACTAAGCTAATCGGCCTCATCCCACAAGTTTTTAATTAAGCACTGAACATGTGCCAGGCACTACTCTGGTCTCTTGGGATTCATCAGAGGAGAAAAATACCGATCAAGATTCCTACTCTTGGGCCGGCCCGTGGCTCACTCGGGAGAGTGCGGTGCTGATAACACCAAGGCCCCGGGTTCGGATCCCACATAGGGATGGCCGGTTCGCTCACTGGCTGAGCGTGGTGCTGACAACACCAAGTCAAGGGTTAAGATCCCCTTACCGGTCATCTTTAAAAAAAAAAAAAGATTCCTACTCTTTGTTTGGTTTGGTTTTGTTGTTGGTTTTTTTTTTTAGCCACTGGCCTCTATGGGGGGGGGACGTGGAACAGGGTAAGGAGGATTGGGTGGATGCTGTGGTTTGAATGACCCCTCTAAATAAAATTTGTGTTGAAGCTTAATGGAATTAAGAGGTGGGGGCCTGTGGGAGTTAATTAGGATTAGGTAAAGTCATCATGTTGGGGCTCCCATGATGAGACTGGTGGCTTTATAAGAAGAGGAAGAGAGACCTGAGCTAGCATGCTAGCTCTGTCTTGCTATGTGACACCTCCTGCTATGTTATACGACCACAAGAAGACCCTCACCAGAAGCTGAGGAGATGTGGGCACCGTGCTCTTGGACTTCCCAGCCTCCAGAACTTAAGAAATACATCTCTTTTGGGGGGGAAGTTTATGAATTGCCCATTCTGTGGTATGAGACAGAGGACAAGATGGAATAAATAAATAGAGGTGGAATGGATAGCCCTCACTGAGGTGATATTTGAGTTAAGACTTGGAGAAGGTGGGGAGTTACCTACCAAGTAGGTATCTGGGGTAAGAGTGTTCTAGGCACAGCTGGAACAAAGATCCCTATCCCAAAATGTGCCTGTTGCGTATGAAGAGTACGAGGAAGGCCAGGATGGCTGGAACTAAGTGAGCAAAAGTGAGAGTGGCAGGAGATGAGGTCAGAAAGGAAATGGAGGCCAGATCACATAGAGCCTGTAGACCATAGTAGGGACTTTGCTTTTGAGGAAAGGAGTGACATGGTATGTTACTTTTTATTGTTGTGTTTTTGTTTTTTTGGTTGTTTTTTGGTGGCTGGTCAGTATGGGGATCTGAAACCCTTTGACCTTCATGTTATAAAACTTGTGCTCTAACCAATTGAGCCAACAGGCCTACTGTCTATATGAATCACCCTCAAACAGAGACTTTGTACCAACCCTGGTGCTAGATGACAGTAGCCTGAATCTGAGGCTGCAGTGAAAGTGGTGAGAAGTCGGACTCTGGACATATATTTTTGTTTGTTTCATTCAAAACAGAGACTTTGTACCAACCCTGGTGCTAGATGACAGTAGCCTGAATCTGAGGCTGCAGTTAAAGTGGTGAGAAGTCGGACTCTGGACATATATTTTTGTTTGTTTCATTCGCTTTAAACAAAAGTGAATTAAACATTTTAATTTTAATCCATTTTAAAACCATGCGGCTCGCTTTTAATTAGTGTAACCTTTAAGCTTTTAAAGATATAATCAAGTACGCAAGGGTAAAAGGGAATATTTCTCAACATTTCTTAAGTAAACTCAAATTTCAGGTTCTTCCCTGGAGTGAAAACAAGCTCTTCACTGTTTTCCCAAGTTGTAAAAATTCTCTCTCCGTCTTTTCTCCCTGTATGCCTCTATTCAATCTTGGCTGCCACAATCAGATGGAAACCCCGAGGACTTTTTTTCTTCCATCTACAGTGGAAACTGGACATGTTTTGAAGATACAGCCAACATGATTTCCTGACATTATGGATATCAGGGAAAGAGAAGTCAAGAATAATTTGACAAGAGACTCAGTGCCCAGGGTTTTTATTGGAGGCTAGTCACACAGGCACCCTCTACATAGAACATAACAAAATTTTAGACTCCTAGAAAGAAGCAGGAATTCATCATACAGCACATTGTTTGCACAGTTTTGACACAGTGAGCCACTCAGTTTTGGGAATGGTGGGAGCCCTCCTGAAGTCTAAGTTCCCAGACATCAGCCAAAGGGCCAACCTGTAAGCAGGCCTTCCGTTCTAAGAATAGCAGTCTCAGGCCTGTTATGTTAACTCTTTTCTGCACAGATAGACAAGTGTGTAATTTGGGAGAAAGTTCTGGAATGGGGATATAAATTGGGGAACATAGGTGGTGTTTAAAACCATGGAAATGTTTGGTGTCTTGATAGGCATTTGTCAAAACTGACTGATACACTTAAGAGCTGAAGTGGATGAAGTGAATGTAGAAGAGAAGAGGACCAAAGACTGGACCTTGGGGCCTCCAACATTAAGATGTCAGGGAGAAGGAAAGGGAACAGCCAAAGAGTCGAGAAGAAGTAGAGGCCAGTGAGGTAGGAGGAAAACCAAGAACAAGGTGTTCTGGAAGCCAGGTGAAGAAGAGAGAAGTGATCAGTTTTTTCAAGTTCTGTTGAGAAGTCGAATAAGATGAGGACTAACAAATGACCTTTAGGGTTTAGAAAATGAAGGAGGAATTGAGAATATAGACAACCTTTTGAGGAGTTTCATTTTGAGGAGCAAGGAAAAGAGGTAATAACTTGGGAGTAGTGGGGACAAGAAAAGGTTTGTCTGTTTATTTTTGAATGAGAGAAATAACAGTATGCTAGCAGGTGAAAAAGTTGCTGCTGTAACTTGCTGTTTCCCCACAGCTCAGTCTCAGCCTGCTTTTGCTATCAGAAATCTCCTGAGACTTCCCTGCTCTGGTCTGTAGCCTCCTCTGGACCTGCTTTTACTTGTCTTCTCTGACAGCCAGTTTACTTGGCCACAACAATCCACTTTAATGGCAGTTTCTTGAGGAAAATGACTGTGTGTTTTATACCTAGGTCTAGCTAGGCACTTGACATATGTGGACAAATGAATGAGTGTGGAGGTGGACATAGTCAAGGGTAAGATGCTTATTTTACTCCTAGAGAGTGAATCTGCAGTTATTCATAGTTTTGTATGTTCTGATCGTATTGGGGATGGGAGTGAAGAATAGGGTACAGTCCTTCCCCTGTCGCTACCCTTAGAGTTTGGGAGATAAGAACAGTCTACATGAACTAATTAGAAAGTAACAAAAGACATATAGCAATGGTTTGACCAGAGTCTGGAAAAGGGCGTGTGGTGCAGGGGTTGGTGGAGGGTGGGGCTTGTGTGGAATCTGGAAGAGGAAGCGGCTATGCCAAAAGGACAGAAACCTTCTCAGTAGTACAGTCCTTCCTCCATCCCACCCCCGCCAAATGAAATATAAGGAATCCATTATTCACCAGTGCTGCTCTGGTTGAAGAGGAGCTGGGGGCCTGCTTAGCCCACCCCTTTGGCACCCCCACTCCAAACTCTGGGCTCCCCTGGCCAGTTTCAAAGTTCTGAGGCAGAACCTGGGTTCTCAGACTCCTCCCCTGTGACATTGGCTGCTCTGGTTGAAGAGGAGCTGGGGGCCTGCTTAGCCCACCCCTTTGGCACCCCCACTCCGAACTCTGGGCTCCCCTGGCCAGTTTCAAAGTTCTGAGGCAGAACCTGGGTTCTCAGACTCCTCCCCTGTGACATTTTGTGTCCACTGCTAACATCTACAAATGGTTGTCATCTCTAGCAAAAATTAGGTTAACGTGTTTTCTCAATTTTATGTTCTTCATAAATTGTATATAAATTTCTAGCATTTGCCAGTATTTGCCTGCTGGAAAGTGAAGCAGATCACAAAGAGGGAGTGAATAGCTAATAAACACAAAGGTGATTCTTGGCTTGACATTTTGCTATGTTGATTGTATTTATATGTGACTGTGATTTTTATTTTATATTTTATGTTTTGTTTTTGGTAGCTGGCTTGTCGTAAGGATTGATCCTTGACTTTGCGGTTATCAGCACCACACTTTAACCAGCTGAGCTAACTGGTCAGCCCTGAGTGTGATTTTTAAGTTATTTTCTGCTAGTAAAAGTTTCGTAGTGTAGGTAAATATAACTCTATCTGTGGGCCGGCCCGGTGGCGCACTGGATAGGTGCGCTGCTTGGGAAGCGCGGCGGTGCTCCCGCCCGAGGGTTCGGATCCCACATACAGACCGGTTCCCGCTCACTGGCTGAGCGAGGCGCAAGAGCAACACCGAGGGTTGAGGTCCCGTTGCCGGTCCCCGGTCCGGTACGGGGGCAACACTGAGGGTTGCGATCCGTTGCCGGACACGGAATAAAGACAAAAAAAATAAAAATAAAAAAATAACTCTATCTGTGATGTGTGCAGATAGCAAGATAATATCCAGACATTCCTCCCAAAAAAATCACAAAAAACAACAGTGTGGTATAAAGCTAGGTCTTTTGGATGGGGAATGTGGGCACCCATGGACTGACAGGACTTCCTACCCCTAGCTGTGGGTACTTCCCTCCTCTAGGGGCTTTCCTCTTAGGATTTCTTCTAATTGAGGTGGCTAGGTCTTTTGGATGGGGAATGTGGGCACCCATGGACTGACAGGACTTCCTACCCCTAGCCGTGGGTACTTCCCTCCTCTAGGGGCTTTCCTCTTAGGATTTCTTCTAATTGAGGTAACAGTTGCTCCCACTCCTGTACACCTGAAACTATCCATTCTGCCTGGTATTGTAGTAGGTGAAAGTTAGATTTTGTTCAAGAGAAAATGAGAAAATAAATGCCATGGTGTGGCAGAAAGAGCCCTGGATTTAGAGTCAGAAGACTAGTGGGCAGTTCAGCATAGTAGTAACAAGCCTAGATTCAGCACCAGAGTGTCTGAGTTTGAATCCACTTCGTATCTGTGTGACCCTGTAACAGATGGGCTGTCGGAAGGAACAAATGATTAACTATGTGTAGAGCAGTGCCTGACCCAAGGTAAAACAATGAGCATTCTTAATGTTTCTCAAGACTTGGCATTGGAATCCCGGCTCTGTCATTTACTGGCTGGTACAGGGATTTGAACCCTTGACCTTCATGTTGTCAGCACCCTGCTCTACCAACTGACCTAGCTGGCCAGCCCTGCTCTGAGTCTCATTTGTACTTATCTACAAAATGACCTGCACAAAGTCATCCCTGATAAGCTGCCCTTTTCATCTCCACAGACACATATGGCTCTGGGAGAGGAGTATTGTTAATTTAGGGTGGAACATACAGCCACGTCTTGGGCTTCAGGGCCTACATATAACCTTTGGCGTCATAGCTGATAGCAAAAAATAATTTGCTGAAGTCCCCTAGACCAGTGTTTTCAATTTTTTTTTTTTTTTTTTAAAGATGACCAGTAAGGGGATCTTAACCCTTGACTTGGTGTTGTCAGCACCATGCTCACCCAGTGAGCTAACCGGCCATCCCTATATGAGATCCGAACCTGTGGCCTTGGTGTTATCAGCACCACACTCTCAAGTGAGCCACGGGCCGGCCCTCAAATTTTTTATTAATCCAGAGTAAACACATTTTACATGATGACCCAGTGTGTGTGTTTGTAATTGTAACAAGTTTCATGAAGCAGTATTTACTCTTGCTATATGTGATACACTGTAATACTTTCTATACTCTCCAATTCTAATTCTTAAAAAGTAAAAATTTCAATAATGGTTCTAGAATTTGGGATCAACACAGACTTCCTGAGGCTGATTATAGAGAGCTTTTGGCCACTTAGAGCTAATCTTCCTGTATATTTTTGGTAGTTAGGAAGGTATGAGAGGCTCTGCTTGTGAGTGAATTATATTTCTTAAAATTTTACAGTGTGAAGGATCTGTGCCAGAATATTTTTTGGTTTTTTGTGGGTTTGGCCAGTATAGGGTTCTGAACCCTTTATGCTAAAATGTTAACAGTGGTTATCATAGAGTAGATTATGGGTGGTTGGAATTTTCTTTATATTTATTCAAATATTCTAGAGTGAAAATAATTATATATTATCAGAATATTTTAATGTTCCTGATATTCAAATATACTGCTGGTTCACAGCACTGGACCACAGACCTGTGCCAATCTGTGATAAAGTTTCCCAGTCCACAGTGGGGAAAAAAAGAAAATGGCAATATTTGGTTTCTTATAATGCTAAATTTATTCAATTTAAAGAAGTTCAATTTTGAGATCCCTGATAAGCTGCCCTTTTCATCTCCACAGACACATATGGCTCTGGGAGAGGAGTATTGTTAATTTAGGGTGGAACATACAGCCACGTCTTGGGCTTCAGGGCCTACATATAACCTTTGGCATCATAGCTGATAGCAAAAAATAATTTGCTGAAGTCCCCTAGACCAGTGTTTTCAATTTTTTTTTTTTTTTTTTAAAGATGACCAGTAAGGGGATCTTAACCCTTGACTTGGTGTTGTCAGCACCATGCTCACCCAGTGAGCTAACCGGCCATCCCTATATGAGATCCGAACCTGTGGCCTTGGTGTTATCAGCACCACACTCTCAAGTGAGCCACGGGCCGGCCCTCAAATTTTTTATTAATCCAGAGTAAACACATTTTACATGATGACCCAGTGTGTGTGTTTGTAATTGTAACAAGTTTCATGAAGCAGTATTTACTCTTGCTATATGTGATACACTGTAATACTTTCTATACTCTCCAATTCTAATTCTTAAAAAGTAAAAATTTCAATAATGGTTCTAGAATTTGGGATCAACACAGACTTCCTGAGGCTGATTATAGAGAGCTTTTGGCCACTTAGAGCTAATCTTCCTGTATATTTTTGGTAGTTAGGAAGGTATGAGAGGCTCTGCTTGTGAGTGAATTATATTTCTTAAAATTTTACAGTGTGAAGGATCTGTGCCAGAATATTTTTTGGTTTTTTGTGGGTTTGGCCAGTATAGGGTTCTGAACCCTTTATGCTAAAATGTTAACAGTGGTTATCATAGAGTAGATTATGGGTGGTTGGAATTTTCTTTATATTTATTCAAATATTCTAGAGTGAAAATAATTATATATTATCAGAATATTTTAATGTTCCTGATATTCAAATATACTGCTGGTTCACAGCACTGGACCACAGACCTGTGCCAATCTGTGATAAAGTTTCCCAGTCCACAGTGGGGAAAAAAAGAAAATGGCAATATTTGGTTTCTTATAATGCTAAATTTATTCAATTTAAAGAAGTTCAATTTTGAGATTATGTTCTTCCTACTCTTTTGGCATTGGTATCTCCTTTCTCTTAAGAAATTATGGTAGTAATCATGGCAAGGAAGAAAAAATATCCTTTCTTAGCAAAATAAAATGTAGTCCACCATGAGGTGGACTCTGGCATGTCAGCACCTCAGTGCCTCAGGAAATGATTACCTAGTTTGTGGTCTCTAGGCCCCTTCCTTCTCTGCTAGCTAATGCCTCTGTTAAACAGTGGGAAGAAGATGTAAATGGAGGTAAAATGCAGATCTGTCCAGTTTGCTCATTCCTAGTTCTAATTTGCTGGAGCTGGAGGTTGAAATAAAATTTAAAGGGCTAATCTGGGTTTTATGAAGTCATGATCTGGTGTCCTTTCTTGGCAAAGTCAGTATTGTAAGGTTGTAACATATGTCGGTAAGCAGTCTTTCTCTCCAGATTTTCTTTCCTTTTTAAACAAGTAATTGAAAACTATTGTTAAAATTTTTTCAGTGGCAATCAGTTCCCAAAGCTATTGGGAACTGAGAAAGAAGGATAGAACCAGTGATTTCACACATACTGTTATTTTCTTGTCGGGCCCTCAGGACAACTCTGTGAGCTCAGCGCATTCATTGAAGCTAGAAGGCTCACCATTGGTGTGTGACCCGCGGCAGGTAAAGACTGATGCAGCCTTTTGTAGAGCATAAGATAGCACTAGATGTAAAGTGTTCATGATGTGTATAGTTTATGCTAGGCTCACCATTGGTGTGTGACCCGCGGCAGGTAAAGACTGATGCAGCCTTTTGTAGAGCATACGATAGCACTAGATGTAAAGTGTTCATGATGTGTATAGTTTATTCTGTAAGAATGCCATGACATCACACTTGTGAAATACATCTGAATTATCGTCTGTTTCAGGTTACATACGCCATGGCTATGACTAGTGTCAGATTGCTCACCACTGTTTTAAGAAAGCCAGATTCCTGGATTGGACTCTGGGGTGTGCTTCGAGGGACACCTTCACACAAACTCTGTGCTTCCTGGAATCGATACTTTTGTTTTTCCAGTACCAAGTTAAATGCATCACACTATAAAACTCTTTTTCATAATATTTTCATGCTGAGACTTCCTAGGCTTTTAATATCTCCAAAATATATTTTTCCATTTTCCATTAGACTCAAAAGTAATATAAGCTCTAAAAATTACACTAAAAAGATTCTGCAAAAAGTAGAAGACGAAGAGGATTCTGATGAAGAGGATGATCATAACGAGATAAGTGAGCAAGAAGAGGAGCCTGAGGATGACCCCAATGTGGTCAAAGACTATAAAGATCTGGAAAAAGTAGTGCAGTCTTTTCGGTACGATGTTATCCTGAAGACAGGCCTAGATATTGGGAGAAAGTGAGTATGATGTGCATTTTATTATAAACTCACTTGTAATCTTATTATTTTAATGCAGCATAATACCAGTCACTCAGTCCATATCATGGTGAAAAATAACCCCAGATATGAAAGGATCTCAGGTAACATGTTTCAATTATTGAAAACTGATTCCCAAAGAAGTTAAGTGACTGCCTTCAAATTCCATTGTGACATATTTACTTCATGATAAGACACAACTGACTGTAAGATGAATCATTGATTTAGTAACAGCTTCTTGAGGAGAAAAGGAATTACCATATTAGATGTATATAGCAAACATAAAATGTACCTGGATTTCATAAAGGCTACATTGTAAGAAGGTGCTTCTTAGAATCAACAGAAGGAGACTATAAGGTGGTGGTTAAGAATGGAGGCTCTGGAGTCAGACTACTGGGGTTTCAGTCCTGGTTCTTTGTGTGACCTTGGGCAAGTAACTATGTCTCAGTTCCCTCATCTATAAAATGGGGATAATAGAACCTACTTTAGAGGATGGTGGCTAGGATTAAATTAGTATCTATCTAAAGCACTTGTAACAGTGCCTAGCACATAGATACTCAATATGTGCTAGTTGTAAGAATAATGACCCTCATTGTTCATTTACTCCTTTAGCAATCAATGATTGTGTGCATATTGCATACAAGGTAAGAATTGTGTTATGAATAAATTCAGAAAGATTTCCTTGTGTAATTTGTACCTTTATAACCTAATTTAATGGCATAGTTTAATTTTTAATCCATGAAGCTTAAGAGACTAATAAAGATGACTCTGAGCCCACGTGCTCCTGTCGAAAGATTTCCTTGTGTAATTTGTACCTTTATAACCTAATTTAATGGCATAGTTTAATTTTTTAATCCATGAAGCTTAAGAGACTAATAAAGATGATTCTGAGCCCACGTGCTCCTGTTTTGGAATCCTGATCAGGATTTGTTGAATGTTCTCCAAAATCTGGCAGACTCATAAGGGGGCTTCTCCTCTCCCAGAACAGAACAGTAGCTGGTGCTATTGCTAAGCCAAATCCCAAATGTCAATCACCTGGAGTCAGATTATCAAAAGGAAAAAACACTGATACATGTCTGCATGCTCCCCTGGTCTGGTTGCCCCAATGATTTAAATTCAGAAAGATCAGCAGCTGTTGGATTAGGATTTCCCCATCCTCATTGCATACTGGTAGAGGGTTTCTTAATGGCCTCACCCTATGTATTGTGACTTGTTTTTCTCTCCGAGTACAGAACAGGTATCTGAGGGGAAGGAAGTGTACTCACTTTGGCTGTTGTGAATTGCCATAGCTACAGCCTGGCCTTGCGGTAGCTTCATTGGGAGACAGGTGGAGCCCTCCAGGCCCCTGTCCTGAATGGAGTGTGATATGCCTGCTAATATCTCTCTTAAAGCCCCATCTAATAAATTGCCCAACAGCACTAGCAAATCTTTGCATCAGTTCAGCATCTATTTAGAAATGCCCTTTGGTCTCCCTGTTTTAGACATATAGAGGAGCAGCTGACTTTCACTTTGCCAGCACCCAAAATGGAGATTTTTGTGGGGAGTCACTATTCGAATAAACATTAATGGCAGGTGGTTTTTTTTCAAACTTGTATAATTGTTTTGAATATATTTCTGTATTTTAAAGCATTTTGCCTTCTTTTTAAATAGCAAAGTGGAAGATGCATTCTACAAAGGTGAACTCAGGCTGAATGGGGAAAAATTATGGAAGAAAAGCAGAACGGTGAGATATTAAACCTGTAATGACAGCCAGGTATTTTTGTATGGTGCTCTGCCAGTACTCAATTAATGCTGCTCCAGATTTTCCCTCAGGCTCCTTACATTCTCTGAGGTCATCTGTGGTCCCTGGTCAAGCTGATGGAACCACCAGCAGGCTTCAGTCACACAAGCCACTTTCTCTTCTGTAGCCTTAATCACCTTGTGATGAAGCTTCCCCTTTTTATTTAAAATTTTAAGATAAGCTACTATTGGGACAGGCAAAAAATCATTAATTAAACTTCTAGGGTATTAACATATGCCCCCATCAAATCATAATAATTACATTACAAAGAAACATTTGATCCACATAGAGGTGTTCTTTTGCCCAGTGTTATCTAAGTGGATATGTAATTCTATTCAGTTCAGCAGTGCCCACTGAGCACCTGATGGATGTACTACTCTATGTGCAAGGCCACTGTTAAAAAGGATGTTCTGTATTTTCTGAAAGGTCCATATCTATACTATTGTTAAGTGAAAGAAGTCAGTGACAAGAAATTGTATTTCCAGTATCCACTTTTGTAACAATGAATCATATATATAAAAATTCTGTTAATATGTATTTTTGTAAAAATAAATTACTATACTAGGAGTCTTCAAAAAGTTGGTAGGATTTGTAGTATTGGTTTTTTTCTTTTTTTGCAGCTGGCTGGTACAGGGGTTGAACCCCGGACCTTGGTGTTATCAGCACCATGCTCTAACTAACTGAGCTAACCAGCCAGCCCTTGTATTATCTTTTAATTCAATTTTTCCATGAACATTTTGAAGTACCCTTGTATACATCTGAAATTAAAACAGTACTATTAACCAGTATTTATCCTTGAGTGAGGCATTATGGGTTATATTCTCTTCGTGCTTTTTATTTTCTGAAATTTTTACTATGAGTATGTATCACTTTCACAATCTGAAAAAACAATACTAATAGTAAAAGTTAACAAAACAACAAAAAAGTTGTAAGACAGAGACCCTTAAAAAGTTTGGAAGACACAAGATATAAAAGGTATTACAAGACATGATTCAGCTCTTACTCCGTGTCCAGGGGACAAATGTTCTAGAGTAGTTAGACACACTTTTGGAGGTTGTTTTTATTTCATCTTCTTTCATATTTCAACACCCCCCCAAAAAGGTATTACAAGACATGATTCAGCTCTTACTCCGTGTCCAGGGGACAAATGTTCTAGAGAAGTTAGACACACTTTTGGAGGTTGTTTTTATTTCATCTTCTTTCATATTTCAACACCCCCCCACCCCCCCCCACTGGGGTTGGAGGATCTGAGCTACATCCTGTTGCCTAGGACGTGGGATGGTGAGGCTGTCAGCTGTGCGTCTGGGTGAGCACAGAGGTTTCTTTCAGGACTTGTTGTCTGGCATCATGCTGGTTCTTACAGCTACATGGACAGAAAGAGGGGAAACTCCCCATGCTTGTCTCAGCCTCCAAGTTGTATGGGCCCAAAGTCCCTCTGACAGCACTGAGCCTGCAGGTTCAGACTGTGGCATGCCAGCCGTTGCTCAGCAGGCAGCAGGCTGTTAGGTGCTCATAGCCCAGCCCCTTCTCTTTGGCTGCAGTAGACAAGACCCGTTCTTGGAGTAAAGAATGATTACTCCCTGAACACCCCTCCTCTGTGCTGGGGACTCTTTTACAAAATCTACAGCCTACTTTTCTCTACCTGCTTTGAGATATTAACTAAATCCTAATTGCTGCTGCTTCATTCTGCCTAGGGTATTCTGTTGTCTCGGCTGACTTCCAGATTTCTCCTGAGGGTCAGCAAAGGAAGGGGCCAGTATTAACACTCAGCTGCCTTGTTACTAGGAGACCTGGTAGCCATAGAAACTGCAGCTAAGGGGAGATTTGAAATGTTGATATCTGGAACAGCCCCTAATCCCAGCCAGCTTTGCTTTGTGTCTGCTAAAGGACAGGGCCTTGGAGAGGAATAAAGAACTCCTCCACTTCCTTGGCACTCCAAAGGCCCACTCTGTAGAGCTTGTGCCTGGCTGCTGGCCCTGAAGGGTTGGGCGCTTGTCTGATGTTGCAGCTCTAACCATGGCTGCTGCAGCTGAGCAAAGCTTTTCTGCAAGCTGCAAACCAGATGGGCCCCAGAGTAATAAGTGCTGGGTAACTGTTGACTTAAAACAGTGGGTATGTGGAGTCCAAGTATGGGGATTGAAGCTTTCCTAAACTAATTTCTTCCCGGGATCAGCTGAGTAAAGGAGAAACAGTCCTTCCCTGTTCTCTGTCCTAAAAAGAAGCTCCCAGAGGGATTCAATCTTCAGCTACACACTAGCCTGCTCTGCTTCTGAGGGGCAGACGTCATGCACAGTATATCTATGAAAGGATGTCTTTTCTTTTCTTTTTGCAGCTGGCTGGTACAAGGATCAAACTCTGGACCTTGGTGTCATCAGCACCATGCTCTAACCAACTGAGCTAATTGGCCAGCCCACAGATGCCTTTTCTTTGTATACTTTTTGTATCTTCTAAATTTTGTATCACATGCATATATTATTTATTGAAAATGAATTTTAATGAAATAAAGTAATGTCAAAAAAGGTATACTTCCTAAATCTTGTATTGAGTGTTCTAACAGGCTGAGGTGGTCATTTTTTCATTTGAACCTAGAAGAACTACAGGAGGGCAGGACCCCCCAGATAATGCCTGGTCAGCTCATCCTTCAAACTGAAAGGGAGAAGCAGTCTTGATGCCTAGCTGTGGTGTGAGCCTTTCTGCTTCTCAACCCAGACGGGAGGAAGTTATGGTTTAAAATATACCCCTGCGTGAATTTTGTATCTAGCTGTTCTAGGCTTCCCAGATTGACCAGTGTAGTGTTGTGGCACCCATGTTGTAGACAATTTTGGGCCTGCAGGGACTTGAGTGGGTTGAGGAACAGATACCAGTTTGCCCTAGAGAGGTACAAATGTTTCAAGAGTCTGATGTTATGTCTACCTCAGAGAACATTAATTAGAAAATAAAGGAAAAGTCAGCACTTGACACCATGCCTCTTAAACAGAAGCCCTCCAGCAGGTTTTTAAATGGTCATGTGGAGTTGGTGGCCCACACATAGGGTTCCCCCTGCCTGCCGCCACCCCACCCATGGAAGCAGTGGTCAGGGGTCTCAGATGGCCCCCAGTCATCCTTGGGGGTGTTTTAGCAGAAGCAGCAGCATATGGCACCTGGGTCTGTTTAGCCCCTTCTTGAGTCTCTGGGCAGAGCCTCCAAGATCCTGAGCTGCCCAGACCAGATATCTGTCTTGGGCTGTCCACACCCTCAGCACAGACCTGAGTCCCCAGGGAATGCTGTGCACCAGCTCAACCCAAAGCTCCCTTCTGGGCAAAAAATGGGTTTGCCCTTAGCCCTTTTATAATCCTTGGAATCAGCATCCAACTCTCTCTTCTTTTCTTGAGGCTTGTCTCTGTTCTTGATTATGTGGCATCACTGGGGCCAGCCAGCACTAGAAAAGCAATTTCTTTATTTCTATCTTTATACAGCTGACCATTGTTCCACAGTGACTAATTTGCAACAAACTGCCCCGTCCCCATTTATGTAGCTCATCTCGGTTGAAGTCAGTGAAAAGCGTTGGAAATTTTCTGGAAATTTTCTTCTCAGTGCATGGAGTAACTACAGTATATATACTCTCTAAGACTGTGCTCCACTTTCTTTGTTTTTTTGCCAGTGTTACCAAAATAAATGTGTCCATTCAAATATTCTTAGATCACCCAACAGATGTGAATATTTTTGCAACCCCACAGAGGGCCGTCCACAGGCAGCCAGTTGTCTTGGTCTGAAGGAAGCACCCTAGCCAGGATTGAGCCCTGTGTCCAAGGCATCCTCCCAGTGAGGCCCTTTCACACCAAGGCAGTAGAGATAAGTGACAGTTACAGAATAGCCAGGGCCTTTTCTCACCTGCCCCTACTTTGGGTGATGATCACCTGATGAAAACTCAAACAAGGATGTTTGCATTGGCCTGGGTTTCCCAAAATGTAATAAAGGCTCCATTTTCTTTTAATTTTCAGGTGAAAGTGGGAGATATATTGGATCTTCTCATCGGAGAGGATAAAGAAGCAGAAACAGAAACAGTGATGCGGATTCTCCTGAAAAAAGTGTTTGAAGAGAAGACTGAAAGCGAAAAATACAGAGTGGTGTTACGTCGGTGGAAGAAGTTAAAGTTGCCTAAGAAGAGTATGTCTAAATAAATGGATTTCTTTTTAATGATAAAGCTGCTTTCTAGTGGTGAGGGAAGGGGCCAACTTAAAAGGAACTTTTTGTTAAAATAAAGTTATCTTACCATTTGTGGAATCTGCTGAGCTATTTTGTGGAAATTGGGATCCATATCTGAAGACACCTCTCACAGCCTGGATTTGGTCTGCGCTCCTTTTGACCTTGTCAGTGTGAAAGTCCTTTTACCCAGAGTAGGATGTGTGCTGAATAAGCCCAGAGAGAGTCATAATGACTTGCCTGCTGTTTCCCACAGTAACTACCTCACAAGTCACTGTAAAATAAACTAGCCTTGTTTCTTAGTGTTTTTATTTAAAATTATTCCCTGTCCCTGGGCCAGCTTCCCCAGGTTGCGCTCCTTAAGGTAAAACGAAGCGAAGTCAAGGTCACCCTTCAGATTGGAGGGGGAGAAGCATTGGGAGAGCCCTTTCTCCACCTTCCCTTCTGAATTACCAACATGTTGGCCTTAGTTCCCTTCAGTTTGTCTTTATAAGTCTGGATGAGTAAAGTTGTTCCAACTGATTCCAAACGGGCTGGTTAGAGCCCATTTGAAATTGTTTAGGGCAGAGGTTAATAAACTAGGGCCAACAGAGAGCAGAGGCTTGGTTTTATATGGCACTCAGGCTAAGAATGGTTTTTACGTTTTTAGAGAGTTGTTCCAAAAAAGAATATACAACAGAGACCTTATGTGGCCCACAAAGCCTAAGATATTTACTATCTGACCCGTTACAGAAAAACTTAATGACCCCTGGGTTAGGATAATAAGCTGAGGGTTTAATTTTCAGGTGAAAGTAGGAAATATACAGATTTTACCAATGAAGAAAATAAACAGACTAAATATTCTAATACTCAAGAAAGTTTTATGAAAGGGACAAAGCCTAAAAAAATATAGTAGTATGGAGGGAGAGGGAACACACATGATACACATCATCAAAGAAAAGTTCATCTGCATAAATAAGTTGTTCTGTAGATACCCAGGAGCTTTTCCTAGCATGTGGACGGGTCAGCTCCACAAGGGAGAATCATTAGATTGTGTCATGTCAAAAAGACTGGCTCGGGCCGGCCCGGTGGCGCACTGCTACAGTGCGCCGCTTGGGAGCACGGCAGCGCTCCCGCCGAGGGTTCGGATCCCACATACAGACAGGTTCCCGCTCACTGGCTGAGCGAGGTGCGGGTGCAACACCGAGGGTTGCGATCACATTGCCGGTCCCGGTCCGGTACGGGCGCGACACTGAGGGTTGCGATCCGTTGCTGGACACAAAAAAAGACAAAAAGGAAAAAAAAAAAAAAGACTGGCTGGGTCTGGGCTCTTTTATTTGCCCTCCAAGAATTTCTGAGAATTCAGAATTAACTGACAATGCAGGGAAACTTCTGTAGCCCAAAGCAGTGGGATGTTTGGGCCCATGAGTCTGGAAGTCTTTCACCAGCTCATTTTTCAGAAGAAGATGTAGGAAAATTATTATTTGAAAGCTTAAATTCTCGGGAAGAAATACATACTGTGCAGTGTAACGGAGTTTTTCAATCTTACCATTTGTTAATTTGGCTTTATTGAGTCATCAGTGAGTTATGAATTAAGATTTAGATTATATGTCCATTCTTTTTCTCATTTTCTTCTCCCTGTCCCCTTTACCCATCCCCCTTCCCTCTATCTCTCCACTTTTCTTTGGAAAGGGATTAGAAAGCCTAAGAAGTTGTGGATGGTGAGAGGCATCCATCCTCAGCTGGTTGAATTCATGGATGTGAAACCTGTGAATACGGAGAGCTGCCTATACTCTAAAGCAGTGGTTCTTAACAGGGAGTGACTTTGTCCCCCTGGGGATATTTGGCAATGTCTAGAGATATTTTTGATGTTATGACTGAGGGGGTACTATGGGCAGCAAGTGAGTAGCGACCAGCGATCATACTGAATGTCCTACAATGTACAGTACAGTCCCCTCAACGAAGAATTATCTGACTCAGAATGTTACTAGTGCTCAGGCTGAGAAACCCTCTTCTAATAGAATGACAAGGAAGAATTGTTTTTGTTTTAAATATACAGTTCTTGCTTTCCCAGGAAAGTCTGAAAATATATCTAGTATATGTATCTAGTATATGTTTGCAGTTTTTAAAGGATGAATGATTTAAAGTTAGGACTATGTTGGAAGAGGCCTATCCAGCCCTTTTACTAATAATGGTAATCCTTTTAAATGAAATCTCTTTCCTCTAGGAAACGATGCTAATTGCATTTCCCTGCCAAATAGCATTTACTAGCTTATCTGAAAAATTACATAAATGAGTAGGCAATAGTTTGATTATCTTTTTAGTATTGGGGGGGGGGAGTAGACATTTGGGGGATGGTTCTTAGATCATGGTTTATTTGGGCAATAATAGTTGGGGAGACAGAAACAACTACTATTTTTCAAGAAACTAGAAGAAAACAGATTTCGGTTGGGGTGGTGTATGTTCCACAGATCTTAAAGGATGCGCAGTATGTATCAGGCAAGCAAAATAACACTCTACTGAAGTTCTCTCTTATCTTGGTTATACATATTTTGACTGTCAAAAAGTTATTGTCATCCCTGTACCGGCCAGCAGCAAAAAAAAAAACCACCAGAGAATTATCAGTCAACAACTTCCTGAAGATCTCAAGGGAGTAGTGAAGGACATGATAAACTCACATGAGCAGGCTCGGGAGCATAGAATGTGTGCCTCTCCCAAACTCTGCTTTCGGCGAGTCATAGATAAGCTTGAAATCATGGGAGTATTTTTACCTTGGAAATCAGCAAACACTACAAATCAAGATTCATTTTTTCCCTTTGGAGAAGCAGTTATGAAACATTTAGCAACACACCACTGGGTGCAGTGGGTACCCACCCCTGTGAGAGTTTTTCTGTTAGGAAACACCCTGGTACCCATGTCCACCCTCCAAGTTCTTTTGAATTACTTTTTTCCTTTATTATTGGTATGTATTTTCACATCTCCTCCTCCCCTACTTTGCCAGTCATTCTGTGTTTAATGTGTATCTTTTTATTTTGTATACATTCTTGTACAATGTGTCTTGCTGTTCTGGGTATATATTTTTTAAATTTCACAAATGGCATTACATATTTCATCTTGTATCTCACATCTTTCACTCAGAATGGCTTTTAAGATCCATCCGTGGTACATAGGTACATGTAATCCACTACATAACGAATAGCAGAGTGCATCCACCATACTTTGCTTTCCCACTCTTGAAGTGACACTGTCCCAGACCATACTCAGCTCCCTCCGCACACATTGTGTAGTGCTTGCTCACTCAGAGAATGGCTGCATCTGCTGCCTTTCCCCTAAGCACCAACCAAAGTGCCTGGAGACCCATCATCTAACTTGGTCCCTGGCATCATCCAGCTTTCTAAGTTTTGCCAGTGTAACATAGGTGTGAAGAGAGTATTCTTTTTTTTGGTAGCTGGCCAGTACGGGATCCGAACCTGCAACCTTGGTGTTACAAGGCTGCACTCTAACCAACTGAGCTAACCAGACAGCCCTAGAGATTATTTTTAACATACACTCTTCAGAGGCGCTCCTTTCTTATACACACAAACCACAGCCTGCCGCTTCTGCCTTTTGGTAGCTGCTACCACCCAATCTATTGCTTGGAATTTCCCAGAGGGCTCTGAAATTGGATGCCCCACTTTACTGTTCCTCTCAAAGACATTCTTGCTGGCCCTTTTTTGTGTTAAAGTTTTTTATTCATCATTATTGGTTAGCAGATTGGGGGTGTGTTTGTGTGTATGTATAAATATATACATATATCAAGCAGGATGGTCCTTTGGACAAAGGTGCCCTTGCACTTGATTCCACTGTAGAGATGTCAGCTATACCCAGTGGACCTTCTATCTTGGGACTTTATTCTTAAAGCTGTTGAGACTTTCCTCCAAGGCAGACAAGTGAAGGCCCAAAGACTGCAGTCAGGATGGAACAGTTGGTGTCTAAAATGGGAAATTTCTGTTTAGAGGTCAGGATAGGTAATACTTATTTCTGAAACCTCAGTCACATACTTCACAGAACGTGTAGACTTTTCTTTAGGATTGCAGGGGAAATCCTTTAACTCTTGATTCTGAGAAATCAAATCAAAGGTGAGCCTGTAATGACAGTGGCCAACTCTTTGGATTCAAGCAACACCGTCAGTATGAACTACCCAAAGAGAAGGCACCCATCACTGCGGGGCCTTACATATGCTGAAGTATATGCCTCTTCATGCGTGGAACTGCCTGTGCTAAGCTTTCAGTTTGTCAAAACCAAGTAGACATCCATCTAATACCTTGTGTCAGAAACAGCACAAACATGGGGCTGGCCCGTGGCTCACTTGGGAGAGCGTGGTGCTGACAACAACCATGTCAAGGGTTAAGATCCCCTTACCAGTCATCTTTAAAAAAAAAAAAAATAGCACAAACACCACCAGAAAGACCAGGACTACTGAATTCTGCAGTCAGCACTCAGCACATTTAGCAACTGTGTTTTAGTCTTGTGAGAAACAGGAGTCAGGAAACCTTGCAGTCCCACAGGTGTGCCTCAGGCCAGGGCCCAGCCCAATTTCATCTGCAATGGCCTAAGCTGTCTGCACTGAGGGCAAAAGCCAAGTTTCCCAGTCTAGTTATAGCCATCC